GTAGGAGAGGTAAAGTGTTAGGTCGTGTGTTGACCAAAAAAAGATATAACTAGGTACGAGAGACGTGATTTTTGGATGCTTACATCTAATGATACGATATGATTTAATTATCCTAGGTATATATTTTGATACTTGATAGGATTTGAGTTGACTATAAGTATTTTGATATTGGATTTTGATTATGATTTTGAATTATTTGAGAATATTATATACGAATTAATATTTAAAATATGTATTTAAGTTTGAGAAATATGCATTGCATCTCGAGCATATTTTAAAATTATCGATCGTTTTTCGTTTCTCTTTGTTATTTATGTTATGTATATCTACTCACTAAATCGTTATTTGCTCACATCTCACTATTTCGAGTTTTGTAGGATTTGTGAGATTTTCCATTGACCTCTTCAAAATTATTTGTTTTGAAACAACACATTGATCGTGCGACTCATTTGTATTGTAATATTTTGAACTTATATTTTGATACTACTATACACTCTAGAATTCTACGGTTACATTATGAGAGTTATGTTAGATTGTTAATTATGGATTTTTTTTAGATATATACAAGCATTATGGACTATAATTGCGATGAACTTAAGAAGTGTTGATTAATTAGGCGGTTATATTATGAATTGGATGAATATTTTCATTACCATTGGTCCGATAATTTTGATTTAGATATTCAATGTTTGCTTGAGTCTAGGTGGATCCCATGACTCCTTTGATTATCATGCTAGTCATGGCCTACTTTGGGGATCATGTCATGAATTGAGGGTGTCATTAAAACTAGAAAAGGCCGAGGGTTAAAGTGAAAACCCAAAAGGATATGATTGATCGAATGTGATTAAGGCGAACCCTAAAAATTTCCTATAAGTAACATTCTTTCTCATAAAAAAATGGGCACCAACCTTCCCCTTCTCTCTTATCTCTAGTATCCCCATTTGTCATTGGTCACCTATTTGTAATTTTTGACCAATTAAAACAAAATTCGACCACCCAAAGCACCTAAAATAATAATAAAAACTTCTTGTAGATGCTACACCTTCAAATCACCTTTCCTAGCTTTGCAAACCCAAAACATTGATAGAAAACACCCCGAAACCTACTAGAAACATTTCAAGGCAAGTGTTATTCTTAAATTTCCTCCATTTTTGCTACTTCTAATTGCCAATAATCATCCAAAAAAGCTCTAAAATTTTTCTCAAGTACTTTTTTCCAAGTCCAACATTGAAATCGTATGATCCGTGGTCGATGTAGTTTCATCGAAGAAAAAAGTTAAAGTCTTCATAAGGTTAATTCTTCTTTTTGGATGGAATTGCATGATACCACCATCATTAATTGATAGAGGAGGTCGAAAACTACCCAATCTAGTTAAACATGTGTCAAAAGGAGTCGTTAAAATTTTCACCCTTCGACGGTAGTAGGCGAAATTCGACAAGCCATGTCGACAATATTCTTTTACCAGTCTTTTTGACATTTCTAAGTGACTTCTAACACTTCTTTGTATATTTCTTCCAATTTAGGCATAAATTATTGGTGTTTAGATTAAATTTTAAGTATATTCATACATTTATATGGATTTAATGAATGTCAAGGTGTTTGGTCACTAATTAGGGTGATACCCGGGGATATGATGTTGCTAAAAAAACTTATTAATGATATCTAAGGTTGGTGCTTTTAGTCCCTAAAATAATTGAGAGGACGAGATTAGGTTTGATGTAGTTGGTTTATCTAGGACGTAATGATTTGGTCCCGGTATGGATTTATATTTTTTTGCTTGCTTGCTTTTATGTTTGATGAATTGTTTGTGTTGACACCACTTTTGTTCATGTCTTGGTGAATTATGCGAAATATGATTTTTGAAATTTTTGTTGGTTTAATTGATTTAAAATCATTGTTGCTTTTGTCTTTATCTTGATGAATGATTTTATGTTTGACCTTAAACCGTTGGTTCATTTTTTATAATTTCTAAATTTAGTTAAAAATTTTGATGATTCATTTCTCTTTATTTTTATATGTTTTTTCAATGAATTTTAAGCCATTGTTGATTTGCTTCACTTATTGTAAAGTAGATTTATGCTTTGTTTTCAAAGTGATTGTTGACTTAATCCCATTCAACGTCCAACAAAGTTTTTTCTCAAATTGATCAAGTCCTACTTTGTAATTTTTTGAAATTATCATAATTTGTTTCTAATGTGTTTTCATTAAGTTATTGTCTTTTTAAGAATGTAATTTTACTCGATGTTTAACATTAGTAAATTTTATATATATATATATATATATAGAGAGAGAGAGAGAGAGAGAGAGAGAGCCTTGAGGGATGTTTGGCTAATGATGATATTATGAATGTTGTCCGCATCTTATTTAAATTTAGTTTAGCATTTTACTATTTGTTAAATGGGTGGTAATTTTATAGGGAAACCAACTCTTATATCAATAATTTAAACCTTGTTTGTTCAATTTTTTGAACATTATTTTGTGTAATTTTGTTGCTTGTGCTATTGAGTTCTAAAACCATAAATTTTCCTAAGGATGGATTTCGTTATGTATGATTTATTTGGTTCGTTCTTGAATAATTAGAATTGTTTGAAATATATGATGGAGATAATTAATAAATGATGCATTTGTGCTTATCTATATTTTCTTTAGATTATTATTAATTTTATTATTCATTTTCTTTGAAATTGGCAAGGTTGCTCGAGTTCCTAAAGTTTGCACATTCTTTTGATTTTTTTAAATTTTTCTTTAAGATATTTGTTTTCTTGTCTTTTAGTGGTATATATTTTTTAGATGCATTTTTATATACATATTTATGTATAACGGGTACTTGGAGCTATTTTGGGATAAAATCCTTTTCTTTCTTTCCTTTTTTACCCTATAGGTGAGGGTGCAAAAGCTTGGTCATCACATTCCTATATAGGCCCATTGAGTGTGAGTGAGGACCTTTAGGTCCTTTTAACCGACTCGGTTTGGGCTTCTTTTATTTTCCCGAGTCTCATCTTAAGTTTCCTTAGAGGAAGATAAAGTTTTCGATTAGTCTAATCTTACATCACTCAAACAATTGATAACCGATATGATTAGCAAACACATTAATAGGTGTAGGCATTCATCAAGTTAGAGACCGAGAGATTACATTTAGATACATGCAATGCAACCTATCTTAGACATGACAAGGTAAGGTGACTTATGTCTTTCCTACATATAATAAACTCTTTACCCTAAAATTTTGAGCAAACCGGTTAATAGGTTCCTAGTAACATCAATACTAGGTAGCAATTTCATTTCTTGACCTTAATTTCCCTTGATATCGTGAAAAATAATCGATGCTCACATCTAATGTCGTATGTGCTATGATGCGGATAGACAATTTATCATTATAAAAATGAGAAACGATATTTGGATTTGCATGCAATGCGATCTACCTCAAATAGGATATTGAAGAATAATTGTTATCTCTTCTACCCATAACAAATACCTTACCTAAGATCTTTGTATAGACCAATCATTTAGGTTTTTTAGTAACCTTTGCTATTGGATTGTGACCTTTTTGTACTTTTTTCTATTTCAAACTCACTATTCCAGTGTTCACCTGGCACAAATTTAATATGTGCTATTATGACTAATGGTTACAAAGTTTTAATGAGGCTTTATGTGTTGATCTTGCTACACTTATAAATTCATATGTTGATCATATGTTTTTGGTGTGTGTGAATAGAAAATTGAAAGAGAAAATAATACCAATAGTTTGTAATTTAATTGCATGCCATGATGATCAATAATAATATTAATTAAAGACGCTTGAAACCGTTTATTTAGCCTAGCTATTAAAGATATCCTAGTGTACCTTGAAAAAGATATTTCATGTGATTTATAAAACTCAATCTTTGATTTATTTTTTGGTCGTATTATAAAGTATACCATTATTCTCTAAAAGTATACTATCAATGCTATTTTATTTTCATACTTGTTTGGATAAAGTAAGGGTACTATATGAGAGTTTCGGCTTAATAAATGATGCAGACTTATAAAGTTGCAAAAAAATAAAAATAAAAAAAAGTTGGGCTATTTTATTTTTAGATGACACACAATATATAATTGATATATTGTGTTATATAAGTTTTACAGATGGTGTATATTGTCTTAAGAAAACAATCTGGTTATATCTTTAAGCGAGTAACTTAGAAAAAAAAAAAAAAGATTTTGGTGTTTCTCACATTTGTAATTTTTTATGGCGCCTAAATATTTTCAACTTGTTCAATTATGAATACTTTGATGATTCAATTATTTTTATACCATGAAACTATAGTAACATGACTTTAATTTTTAAGTTTTCTAATGGTCAAGATAAAAAGTTCAAATATTTTATCATTTTTAATCTATAACAGATTTATTTATCTTTTAATGTGATTTTTATTATTTAATTATGTTATTTTTATGTGATAGGAACAGCATAAATCATTTTTTTTTAAAAAAAAAAGGTTAGGTATAGTATTCTCGGGTGGAACCAGTAGCTTGATCCAACATTATCTAGCCTAGTCACACTAAAATTCTTGATCAGGTTGTTTCAAGACTTTGCATCGCTTGGGAAACTTTCTACTCACTTGAAGGTTTTCCTATTTATCTTACAGTTATGTGAGAGAGGCTTTAGTCACCAAAGAGGACCAACCATGGACCAACCATGGTCCACATGCATCATCTAATTTGTACGGAGTTCTCTCAAGTCTCAACTACTTAAATGTCCGGTCTCTTAACTATGTTAGATGCTCACTATGATTCGACAAATCTAGCAGCTTTGAGGACTTCATTGTGACATCAATTTCCTATCGATTTTAATTTATTTCAGCAACCAAACCATCATTAATCGATTATAAGAAATGTGACCATCCATCGTCCACGAAAAGGGTGCAAAGCTTTCAGTTCGCTCAGCAAACCATTAGCTGGATGGTAGGCCTCGGTTATTGACCAACCTTCCATTTTCAATGTCTTGTCCCTTTATCAGAATGAAGATCTCCCTGGGATGTGAGAAATCTAATCCTGTAATAATCATGATTGTGAAACAGAATGGTTTGTGCTAGAGATCATGCAGGTCCCTCTTGATTTGTTTGGCATGGGCATCTAACATGCGTACTCAAGAGGGTCCCAAGACTAGTGAATGAGATGGGGCCAACTTGCGTTGGCTTAGAAATGTGTTCCTTCAGCTACATGAACGTCTTTCTTGGCCCTTGTTTTCTTTGGAAATTAACTCATTTAGCTACACGTTTCTTGGATGACAGTATTGTTTCTCTGGAAAACCACTTCATGAATATTGTTGTTTCTTTTGGCAAGTTAAAAAAGTTCAAGACATGTCTCATTTCCTTTCTCCTTCTAACCTATAATCAAAATATTTCCCTGATCTTTGAAAATATATATAGCGATAAGACTAATACAAGCAAAAATAACAATAAAATAGTTTTGACAAAAAAATAATCTATTTTAAAGACAAATGACCAAGCCTGTCTTTTTATATATTGAGGTGATTAGTATCCAATCTTTTCTTAAATTTTAAAATAAATAGATTATATCTCTCTATTTTAATTGAGTTTTTACTTTATACTATGATAATTTTTTTAAGCCAAATCATCGAAGGAACACATGATTTACAAATATATATATATTTTTTTTTGTCAAAAATGCTCTTCTTAGCTAAAAATGTGCAAGTAATGTTTATTTATTTAATAAGGAAATTGCACATATGTGTGGGTGTGTCCAGCCCACCACATATGTAGATTAATTTTCCTCCAAACTCCACTAACCTTCTTAATTATGTTAGAATTGTTATTTGGAAATAGAAAAGCTAAACTCAAAATTTGATTCTTCTTACTACAAACTAGAGACTCGTTCGTAATCTATTCTTTAAACTTGTTGAAGAATCGTTTCTCTTCACTTCTCTACAATGAAAGATTGAAGTTCGTTGAATAATTATTGGTGTGGTTGGGTGAACAAAAATTAAAGAAAGTAAGGTATAACCATGATTTAAACCTAATCTCTCTATTAACTCTCCTCATTAGCTTAATAAATCTCCTATGTATTAGCTAATCTTTGTTAGTTAAAGTTTAAGGCTCGTTAAAAAGTTATCGTTCCATGTTTCATAAATTTAGGGTTTAATCAATCTCGTTAATTTTTGTCTTAGATGTTTTTGAATAATCTACATGCATTTGTTTTACTTATGTTGTCTTAACCTTAAATATGGAAAATAATTAGCATATTCTAATTATAATATGGAAAATGGAAAATACTTGGAGACCGAAATATGAAGTCCATTTTGGGAGTTAGATTATTAAGAAATATGGGTTTAGGTATTATGTTGGTGGAGATGTAGGTATTGTTAGTGGAATAGATCCTGATTTAGTTATTTTCTTCGATATTGAATCTGAATGTAAGAAGATTGTTGGATTTGTGTGTTATAGAGATGTTATGTACTATGTTACACTTGGATTTCTTGGTTTGATTTCACTAAGAAATGATAATCTAGTAACAAAAATGGTTTAGATGTAAAAAGGCTATGGGTTAACTAGTATGATCATTTATGTTGAGTACAATTTAGATAGATGTAGCTCTAAATCAATAAGGGATGATTTATTATAAAAAAGCAATTCTAAACAATTACCGAGTAATAAATGATGGTAGAGGTGCTTTTGATGATGGTGTTAGCTTTACTTGGTAGTGATGTACCTACTGGTATGGGCACAATATAGGTGAAAATATTATAACTAATGAAGTTAGAGTTGATTATGATCATCAATTGGACTAGTATGCCGATGGTTATGCAAATGAGGGTTATGATAGAATTAAGGTTGAAAGACCTATAGTTAATGAAAATGTGGATGTGGAGGACAATAATTGGAATGGAAAAGAAAAGATGCTAATGAGGTTAATTATGACAAAGAAAGAAATGAGGTTTACTATCCTAAAGAAGAGGAGGTTGAGGTTGAGAGAGTCACCGATGAGTTCTCTAATGATGAGGATTTTTTTGACATTCAAGTAGTGAAGGTGATGCTAAGGATATTGCTGGAAAAAAAGCAAGAATTCCTAGGCAAAATCTTAAATATGTATTGAATGAAGTAGATGATGATGATGACAATGGGTTAGATGTTGAAACAAGTGATCAATTATAATATATAAGAAAATATGAAGATGAGGTTAATGTTGTTAGGAGGAAAAGATTTGAAAATTTTGACACTAAAAAGATATGGTGATTCATATTTTCAAATAAGATTAAGATTTGCTAACGGAGATATTTAGGAATGATTTGAAAATATTTTTCATTAAATTAGGTAGGTTTTTATGTATGTGAAGGATGGTTTGATAAGAATTACTATTGAGTATAAGTTAAAGTGTTAAAAGCGTGGTTAGAGAATTCTTGCTAGTAAACTACGAGGTAAGGAAACATTTCGAGTGAAGACTTTTAGAAAGAAGCATAACCGTGGTTGACATTTTAAAGGTAAAAATGCTAGAATAAAGTGGTTAGGAAAGACTTACATGGAGTATTTTTGTGATGATAAAAAATGGAAATTAGGTGCATTCATGGCTAATATGAGAAAGGATTTTAAGATTGGAATATTAAATATAAGGATTATAGAGAAAGAAGATTAGCTCTTTTGTGGAGAGTATAAGAAACAATTTACTAGACTATGAGACTATGCACAAGAAGTTAAAGACAATAATAATGGATCCTACTCGAAAATTAAGGCAATATCACCTACACCAAGGTTAAACAATGTGTTTGAGAGAATGTTTGTTAGCTTCACTAGATGGATAGAAGCACTAGTTACTTGTAGATCTCTAATTAGAAATGATAAGCTTTCCTCAAAGGCCTTTATAGTGGTCGGATTCTAAATGTAATAGGTAAGGATGCAAATGATAATTTCTATCTCATTGTAATGGTTGTTGTCTACTACGAGAATAAAATAGACTAGGTTTGGTTTCTTCAGCGTTTATTCATTTCTATTGGCCTTGTAGAATAACACAACTAGGTAATCGTATCGGATAGATAGAAGATAAAATTTTTATATGTAAAATGTGTGTGTGTGTGTGTGTGTATAACTTAATTTTTTTTTTCATTAATTAGTTTGTGTGTAATTGTAGGGATTGATAGAGGCATTTAAAGATCATTTTTATAATATGGTTCATTGATATTATGTGAGGCATCTTTATGCCAATTTTAAAGATAAGGGTTATTGAGGAAAAGATCTCGATGATTTCTTATGAAAGACAACCACAACCTATATTGAGAGAGAACTTAAGCGAGATAATGGATGACATAAAGAAGGGTATATCCTATCCGCAAAATATTGATCCTAATACATGGTGTATATACATATTTGATGTCAAAAGCAAGACTAATTTGGTTGTTAATAATCCATATGAGATCTTTAATTATTACGTACTTGAAGTAAGAGAGAACCTATTAATGGCATGTTAGATGAAATCAAGATTAAATTGATTGGTAAATACTATAGAAAGAGAAAACATGTTAAAGCTTATCCAACTAAAGTCCGCCTAAACATTCTAAAGAAATTTGTATCATTGAAGATGTTGATACATGCTTGTCGGACAATTTGTGATGAGTATGGAGTATAACAAGTGCATAAGTTTACGAGTGGATCTAAATAGGGCACATGTTCTTGTAAGAAACAAAAAGTCACATAAATCCTATGTGAGCATGCAATTTTCAACTATTTATGATTCGATGGCAATCCTAAAGATTATGTGATGTTTTTTCCTTAAAGAAAAGGTGGTTCAAGGTTGATCAATAAATGATCTACCTATTAGGAAGTGATGACCAATAGCCTAAAATTTGATATACTAAAATTATTTTATAAGGAACTAAAAAAAGCGAGTTGGAAGTCATAATAAGAACAAAAAAAGAGGGCTAGTGAACCATAAAAAGGATCAATTCTAAGAGTAAGAGTGTAAATAAATAAATGCTCCAATCGTGTTTAGAGAGATTATAACATTAAAACATGCTCTAAACTTATCATTCCAAAGCCTTCAAGGAAGAGACATGTTGGAAATGATGAGCTTGCACGAGTTGGATATTTACATCAAGGAGCTAATACATATGATAAAGTTGTAAAAGATGAACCTTCACAAGAAAGATCTATTGCAAATCACCACAAGTCATAGTATAATCTGCATCTAAACTTTAAAACTTTTTAGATCTATTTTGTGAGTGTTTTTTATTTTTGGATTATGAATAATAAATCTATATATTTATATGATAAGTTTGCTAATTAAAATGGAGTACAAAAACCAAGACAAGAAATAAAAGGCCAAAAATCAATTAACGTGGATGCACCTCAACTTGTTGCGATGCTAAGATCTATTAATGGTGATGTTGGTGTTGAGATTGTGTTAAAAGAGGTTGGTATTCATAGTTTGTTGTTTGTCAATATATTATATGAAGATGGTTATTCATAGTTTGTTTTTGGATATATAGAATGAAGAAAGACAAAAAAAAAATAGACTATTTGAGGTAGGCAAAGGTAGGGGCAAAGGCGGGGATAAGAGCAAAGATAGAGAAAGACAAAAGAAGTATGAGAGAAATTAGTGGAAGTTGTTAGTGTTAAAGTCATCCAAGTAGCCATTTAACAAGTTTTGTGTGAAAGAAAAACTACTCGTTTGTTTTATGTTATATTTTGTGATTGCATAGAAATCTTGACTATGCTTTATTCTTAGAATGAAGCAAAGTTGCCTTTCAAATTATGTTCTATTGGTATTAACTATATATGATTACGGACCATTTTATCTAGACAATGGATCGACCACTCGATGTTTGTTATTTTGGTACTATCCATATGTGATTGTAAATTTTATTTTGAAGAGATTGGTATTTGTTGAGCCCCATAACAAATCTAAACTTGGTTAATCTTAGCTATATAAGCTATTATGTTGATTCTATTTTTAGCTCAAGACAACCTATTCTAGAACTTGTTTAGAAAATTTTGGTTCTTTTGGCATCTATTGCCTAGATAGATTATGAAAAAAAATTTACAAAGCATTGTGGAGTAGTTTGGCTTCCTTGGCAATGAATAGATAAAAAATTATTGATTTTTTTATTTTTATTTTATTTTTATTTTTTTTATGTTTTTATGTTTTATTATTTTTTTTGCATTGTGAGAGTGGAGTATTAATTTGATTTTTTTCATTAAATTATCCACAAAGCACATACACAAAACCTAAAAAATTGACAAATAGTTATCCAAAAAGCCAAGAAGACCTACCATAAAAACCTAAAATTATCCAACACCTACAACTACAAAATACAAATACAGCATCTTGACACACAAATCCTACACAATTCACTTTTTGAACAACACCTTTACACCAATCAGCCAAGTAAGAACCTAAAAGCCCCTTGATATATCAATGAGCCTTTCCGTACATTCTGCCTTTGAAATCTTTCACCTCATTGTTTTTCTCTAACATATATGTCGTTCTAAATAGCTTGGGCAATGCACCCTGAGCATGAACACACTAGTTAGGTTAAGAAATTGAAAATATCCACAGAAGGCCTCCAAGTCCTGTATTTTGGACAATTGAAGAATCTCCTATCATAGTTCTCCTTTGAACATGTCTTCTCGAAAGGAATTCGAAGTCCAAAGTTATAATAAGGAGTTTGTATGTTGTGGGTTCTTTGGTTTGAAATTTGAGAAATGTTAGTTGAGAAGTCTGAGTGCATATTTTCTTGAAATTGATTATTTGGATAGAGAAAGAAAGGATTTCAAATTTAAGAAATCAGAAAAAAAAAAAAAAAGAAAGAAAGAAAGAAAGAAAGAAAGAGAAGAGAAGATAAATAAATAAGGCTGCAAAGATTATGATCAATGAGGTACATGTTTTGTTTCTTGGCCTGGTCTAGTTCGAGCTTTTATTTTTAATAAATTGTGGGTGATTTTTTTTTTTTTTAAGTGATTTGCACATGTTCAAATGAGATGGACATTTTCGAAAAAAAAAATAATAATTATGTACACATCCCATGGTTTTTATTTCTAATGATTTAGTTAAAAAATTAATGAAAAAAATAGATTAAAAACTCAATGAAAATAAATAAATAAAATTAATTCATTTTAAAATATAAAAACCAATTAAACACTGACTCTATTATATAAATCCAATACAAAACGAGCCATTTCCCTCGGTTTTAAAATGCTAAGGCGGCAAAGGAATCTCAACATGATAAGAAGCTTCATCTCTAAGACTACTTTATTGTCCTTCCTGTACCTTGTTGTTGCCATTGGGCAGCTCGCAACTAACTTGCAATTTTTATTTTTTTTTTTTTCATCTCACGGCTTTTTTAATAACACATAATAAGACGATGCAAATCCTGTAATACATCCCAAATGAACAATCCTTTTAATTTTCTTCAAAGAAACTTACAGTAACAAAGGCAGCAAAGGATATACAATCAAGAATAACAAAATGCCAGGATAAGTAACAATGTTAGGTCAAGATATAAGACTACAATTGGCGCCAATCCACAAATATTGCATGATCAACATCATTGATTATAATGGAACTCATGCAGGACGGCCACAATGTGATATATACATACCAAAAGCGTCTGACCTTGAACAAGACCCATTGTTTGCACGTAAACAATTTCATCAGCAGAACAAGGTCAGTTTAGTACATATAATGAGACAAACGCAGGATGAGTAAACAAAGCTACCGACAACAACTACCTTCATTGAAGTTGTCAGAAATAACACGACGCAGAAGACAAGAATTTGATCAAAGGCCGATGACAGCCACCACGACATAAAACAACCAAGATTCTCTCCCTTTCTCTGTATCCTCGTCTCTGGTTCACATCGGGATGATTGTTCAGCCGTGCCTCCGTCCATGTCTCATTTGCTTACTGTTTTTCTCCTCCTCTTCCCTTTCTCACTCTTATTTTAAACAACACTCCCCACAGAAGACAGAAATTTCTCCAGGATTTGATTCTTCACCTCCAAGTTCAATGACAAGATCTGTAAGTTATGAAGCAGTCTCTCCTAATCATGATAGGGAAATGCTTATGCCTCAACTATTGGGACCTACTGCCCAGAAACAGGCAATGCTGGAGTCTCCATCGTCAAATGGAAAAGTTGTGACGGTCATTGTTGTCACAGCTGCAATCACTCTGGCCCTTGCTGGGATCTTCTTCTCTATCTACTTGAAATTTGCTAAAAGAGGGGAAATGAATAAAGTTGACATAAGCTTTCAGCGAGAAGCTATGGCAACTGGTGACGAGTTCAGAAAAGGTGGCAGAAAAGTGAAAAAAATTACCTTTGATGAAAAAGGGCAGGATTTGCTTTATGTAAAAACTTTTGACGGGAAGCCCAGAAACAATTTCTCAAAAGTTATGTTGAACCCTAGCTATGAAGAAGAAGTGGAAGAAAAGAAGGTGGATGTGATAGTAGAGCGATTAAAAAAGTACGAAACTCAGGAAGTTTTGCTTCGGGAACCACCTCATACAATTGGTCAAGGTAAAGTGACTGAACCAGTTTTGCAAAATCAAGAACCTCCGCCATTAGTTTCAGAAATGCCTAGTCCAAAACTACATCCTCTACCATCCCCTCCAATAAAGAAAGTTCTTGCACCACCACCACTACCACCTCCTTCCCCACCACCACCGCCTCCTCCACGTCCTCCAACATCAACAAAACCACCAATGATAACGAAGAAAATTTCTTCTGCATCAACTCCTCCACCACCTAAAATAGGTGGTTCACTGAAACCTCCACCAGTTCCAAGAGGGAAATCAAATAGCAAGAGCAGGGAATGGGCTACGACAGAGGAGAGCTTGAAAGGGACTAGCATTGGCCACACAAAGCTAAAGCCACTGCATTGGGATAAAGTTACAGCCAATGTGGATCATTCAGTGGTTTGGGATGAGATCAATAATGGCTCTCTCAGGTTTCCTTCTTTATAAATTTTAAAATATTATTTTTTCATGACATCTTTTCATTGCCCATTGCATTTCTTAGGTTGATATTTCTATGATATCTATCATTTTTCCCTTTTTTCTGTCAGATTTGATGACGACCTAATAGAAACATTGTTTGGGTATACAACTGGCAATAATAAAATCCTTCACAGAAATGAAGTTTCATCAAGCAGAAACAGCTCCAACCCTACCCCAGCAGCTCAAGTTTTCATACTTGAGCCACGGAAGTCTCAAAACACAGCAATTGTACTAAAATCTTTAGCAATTTCTCGTAAAGAAATTCTTGATGCTCTTCTCGAGGGTCGTAGACTTACCACAGATGACCTAGAAAAGCTTACCAGAATTTCCCCAACTCAAGAAGAAGCAATCAAAATCCTCCAATACAGGGGCAGCGCATCTAAACTTGCAGATGCTGAATCTTTCCTTCACCACCTCCTCAAGGCTGTTCCTTCGGCATTCATCCGTATCAATGCAATGCTTTTCAGATCAAATTATGATTCCGAAATTCTTCATCTAAAGGAGTCCTTACAAACGCTTGAATTGGGGTGCAAAGAGCTACGAACCCATGGCCTCTTCTTAAAACTTCTTGAAGCCATTCTCAAGGCTGGCAATAGGATGAATGCTGGAACATCCAGAGGCGACGCACAAGGTTTCAACCTTACTGCTCATAGAAAGCTTTCTGATGTTAAAAGCACGGACGGGAAGACTACTCTACTTCACTTTGTTGTAGAACAAGTTGTTCGACCGGAAGGTAGACGTCATGTACTTAATCGGAATCATAGTATGGAAAGAAGTAAGAGTCATAGACGGATAAACAGTGATTTAAATTCAGACACCTTGACAGCAGAAGAGAGAAACAAAGAGTACCTGTTGCTGGGATTGCCAGCATTGGGGGACATGAGTGCTCAATTCTTCAATGTAAAAAAAGCAGCTGCCATAGAATTTGACAGTTTCGTCAACACATGCGGCTCTCTTACAGCTCGTGTCACAGAAATTCGGCAACTCACGACAAACTGTGGCAATAGTGAGGCAGGTGGGTTTGTGATGGAAATGAAAGGATTCTTAGAGGAATGCGAAGAGGAGCTTAAGTTGGTGAGGGATGAGCAAACAAGGATTATGGAGGCTGTGAGGAGAACAACAGCGTATTACCAAGCAGGAGCATCAAAACAGAAAGAAGCAAATCTGCTTCAATTGTTCGTTATTGTGAAAGATTTTCTTGACATGGTTGATCGAGTCAGTGTAGACATTTCCCAAAAGCTGCAGAAGAAAAAAGTGGCAGCAAGAGCAGAATCATCATCACCACCGTCACCTCCAACGAGTAATCCAGTGAAATTTCCAGACTTCCGGTTACATCTGATGTCAGATATGTCTAGGGCAACATCTTGGAGTGAATCGGATGATGATTTCTGAACAACAGGATTTGTTCGCAGAAAACCATTCAGTTAAAGGAGTTGGCGCCCATGCGAGCACAAGCATGAAATACATGATATTCATCAAACTTAATTTCTCAAGTAACTTTTTCTTCATAGGCCTCTCTGTTGGAAACTAAAAGGGCTGCTCTGCTGTGGAGAGAAAAAGAAAAGCTATCAACGAAACACGAATATCACATGGAACCAAAGCTCCGTGCGACAAGAATCTGGGAGAACAAGCCAATTGGATAGCAAACAATAAATGTTAGAATTAATTTTGAAGTCTAGAATAATGTAAAGTGAATTTCTTGAAAAGTCAATGAGTTTCTCGAAGAGCCAGTAGTAATGACAGAAGTCTTTATAGTTATCCTAAACTAATATAAATATATGTTTAGTAAGAGTTGTAAATCAAGTTCAATTCAAGAGACTTCCTCTCTTACGAGAGTCATAAAATATCAATAAATTTCTATCATGCTTCCTATGTTCTCACCATGTTTTCCTCTCCTCTTATATTTTCTAACATGGTATCAGAGCCAGAGTTGGTCTGAAAGAGCGTTCATAGAGCATTCAAAGGAGTATAGCATGTTTGTAAAAAAGAGGAAATCCCAAAAGCAAATGGACAATAGACCTAAGAGAGGGGGTAGTGCCTCAACAGACCCAAAGAGAGAGTGGATGGATAATGACATCCAAAGAAGAAATGTGATGTAAGATGAAGGAGACCCAAATGAGAATTGGGTCCTTGTAGCAAGAGAGAAATAGAAAAGGCCCTAAAAGGGTTGAGTGCAAGTTCTTGCACAAGTGATGATGTGGTACTAGAAAGACCAGACATGAAGAAAAGAAAATGGAGGAAAATGGCCAACGAGCCATAATGACTAAGAAGGTTGCAGCCTAAATGAAGCTAAATGAAGAGTAAGCCAAAACAGAATGGCCACTTGAAGAGCCAAATCTTGACGTAGAGATTTTGGCATGGAATGTCATAACAACTACAAGATGAGAAAACTGGCTAACAATAACCATCCTCAAGCAATAACTATTGCTGAAGAAAAGAAAATTTCAGAGATGGCAATGAAATGTCATTAGCTAGTCATGATGATAAAGAATGGATAATTCAAATATCCAAGCACTTCACAAGATGAAGATGATTACCAACAATGTGTCTGTTAAAAAAGAAGAACATTTTGCAAGTTTTGAAAGATGCAAGACGTAGATTACCAACACGCTTCAAATCTCAAGAGTTATATGAGATCTTCAAAATTAAGGAGGGGTGTTGGAATTAATTTTAGAGTCTAGAATAATGTAAAGTGAGTTTCTCGCAAAGTCAATGAGTTTCTCGAAGAGTCGGTATTAATGACAAGTTTTTAGAGTTATCCTAAATTAGTATAAATATATGTTTAGCAAAAATTATAATTCAAGTCCAATTCAAGAGACTTCCTCTCCTACGAGAGTCATAAAATATCAGTAAATTTCTATCATTCTTCCTATGTTCTGGCCATGCTTCCCTCTCCTCCTATATTTTTTAACAATAAAAGCCTCCAATTATGGTATTTGCTAACCTATAAACACATATAGACAAAAAAGATTCTTAGTGCCAATTGTTGAAAATTTCCGGCTGAACTTTTATCTTCTAAACTTTGTTTGATCAGTGATGATCATGTTACCTAAAATAATTGTTCTTGCAAGATTGAATATATATATTTGGGGATAATGGATAGTTGAGCTTTTATGAATCAAATCATCATTTCATGTTCCAACATAATACTCCTTTTCGTGTTTCTAAAATAAAAAAACCATACTAAATCAATCATTGGCAAGAATTACATGGCATTGTTGGAAATAAGAGAAGCAAAGTGGGTAAAAATAGAAGAATTTTAAGACTGATAAAATCAGAATTGATAAAATTAGCAGAGCTCTAGCTCTATGACTTTACTTCTATTTAATATTTTACATATGTTATGTTTTTTTCCTAGTTACAACTTAAGAAGAAGAGTTGGACTTGATTAAAAGACACGGACAAAACAAGACTTAAGAAATCTATAGTCACAAGTCCTTAAGTCCGACAATTTCTAAAGTCCAATAATTTTCGAAGTCTAGTTAACATAAAAGACTCTTGATTGAATTAATTCGACATAGAAAATTGTACCGACAATAAAAATTACAAATTATTTTACACTTTTTAACACCTTCTCTTAATTTGTAATTTTATGAAACTTTTAAATTGCTAGAACTTCTTTGAAGATACTACTGTTGTAAAAAATCTAATGATTGATCACTTGTGTTAATGAAGTCTCATTATCGGAAAAATTGGATTTACTAATGATTGTTTAATGATAGCTTAAAAAACCATCGCTAAAATCATTAAATAGTGATGGTTTTCATAAACTTGTCATTAATACCCTTTTAAAAATTGGTTTTTGACAACAATTTAAAAACCGTCGCTAATTTGGTCACATATGTCTTTTTTTAGTGATGATTGTACATAAACCATCACTAAATATGATAATGACTTTGGAATTAGTGTGTGTTTAGTTAAAACATCACCGATTCCTAAAAAAAATATTAGTTTTTAAAGATGATTTTACATAAAACGTCACTAAAAAACCCATAATTAGGGTGAGATTTAACGAAAGTTACTAAAAATCATTACTAAATCTAAATGTTCACCAAATCAACAAAGGACATGGATTTGGAGATGGTTTTTGTGATAAAAACCGTCACTAAATAAAGAAATTAGCGATGGTTTATGGAAACGAGTCTATAATTTCTAACTCGTAGAAGGGAAAATAATCATTTTGAATTTTTAGGCTAATTAGCGATGTTTTTTAGTGATAGTTTAAAACTGTTGCTAAAAAATTTAATCCCTAAAAGCTACGCCTCGAAAGGTTTCCCCAAATTCTTCTTTCATTCTCTTCTTCTTCTTCTTCCAACAATCGCACCCTTTGTAACACTCTCAACCTCGGCTCTACTAGGTTGAGAATATTATTGTCATTGATTTATATTTGAAGTGCAATAAACATAAGCCAACAAGACACTAAGTCTTTACTATGGTCTCCTAGGTATGGAATTAGCTATGAAAGCCTATTATTGATGGGTAGGTTCTAAATTTCACCCCAAAATGCCCGATAAATTTTTTACATTTTAGTATTTTATTTAAATTGTTTAGACTAAATGGACTGGATCTATAACACTTGATTTTATCAAATTTCTTTTCTATTAGTCTTTATAAATTTATTTAATTATAATCCATTATTTGATATTTAATTTCTTTTATCTTTATTAAATGCCATTTATTATGATTATTTTCTTACCACCTTCATTTTCTTATCCTATTATTAATGCTAACATGTAAGAAATTAACTTAAACAAAAACTATACTAACTATGGCTATACTACTATTTTATTATTGATATTTTGATTAATATACAAACCGTCCTTAATTTACATATATAAGTTACTGTGCCACATACGAAAAAAATGACTTATTTAGTACAGCTATTGTATTTTTAACTAACTACTCATTTCTTCATGATTTTGACCTCATGTAAAAGAAAGATGTCATACCTAGAGAATAAACTAAAATATTGAGTAGTAATATAACTATCGTCCGGAGGAGGTCCACCTTGTAGTCATATTTAAGATACACATGGTGCACTATCCCCTCGATAGTCAACTCAAATGTGAACATTGCCATATTTAGTTTTAGTGCCTACACCACAAAAATTTGATGAGTGATTGCTCAATAAGTTAATATGTGCATGACGTGTGAGTAAATGGAATGCACGTGATAAATTATATCCATGTTCTTTGAAAAATCCTTTTTTCCATGTCATAAAATCATTATCATGAACATTTTGAGAATCTTTTTTGTCTTTAGAATGTCTTATTCTTCGACTTTAATGTTTCCATGATATGTTTGGAGAAACGGACTAGTTTACTGGATGCATTCTACGAGTCTCCGAAAGTGCACATCCGCACTCACTTGACCCCGAAACCTTTAATTATGACATTCATGGAAGACCTACAAAGCCCTTCTTCATAAAATCATGAAGTCATGAAAAATTTGTAATCATGAAATATTTTCACTCACTATTGGAAATTTCTTAAAAGAAAAATCCTTTTTTCATGACTTTAAACCTTTTCCATAAACTTGGCATTCATATGCATTTCAATGTAAATGCATAATTATCATGATTTCATGTAATGTATGCCATGAATGATGTGCATTTATTCCATGATAATGTAGGACTCAACATTATAAATGCACCATAATACTCATATCTTGCATTACCATCCAAATCATTCCAAACTAGGAATTATCATATAAGCATCATATAAACTTCACATTGGTAATATTTTATAGCATAAGGAAATACAATCATTCAATCATCCAATTCAGATCTTGCATAATATAGTAATCACATTTTACACATCAATTGCAACTCATAAACCAAATTGCAATCAAGTCACACAAAACAAACTATAAACACTAATTTTTCTTAATATGGCCGAATGTGCCATTAACTTGTGCTATTGATTTTTTTAATTTCAATGCTAATTTCTCATGCTAATTTATTCAAATATATTTCAATATCAATAATTTAACCAATCAATCATTAATAAGCTAAAAGCATGCAAAACCCTAAATTTAGGCCTAATAGGCCAAAACCATACCTAGGGTAAACTAGGTTAATTTTTCAATTTCAATAAAATGCTTATGATACATCATCTTTTTATGTTACACTAACTTGAAATTAACCAATTAAACTATTAGAAACTCAAAACATTTGAACCCTAATTTTTCTCTAATTTGGGCCTAATGTGGCCTTAGTGTAACTAGGTGAAAACTTCAATTTTTATCTAATTTCTCATACCCAATCATCAATTCATACTTAACTAACACCTAATCAAATAATAATTCATCAAACCAACCAAAGGATTAAAAACCCTAAATTTGGCAATTTAGGCCGAATGGTCTTGAGAAATTAACTTGAAATTTTTGTTTCT